GTATCCCTATTTAAACAATTTGTTTTTTCCCTTCCCCTCCACAAATTACACCGACATCAAATACAGTGAAAGTAGGGGTTATACCATGGGGGAGGGACATACAAAGCAACAAAGAAATCATCTTATAAATAAATCTTATAGAAACAATCGCATGAAAGAAAAAAATATTTTAATACATAGGTGTTTCTAACATATTTATATCGTTTAACTAGGGATACAGGTGGACCCATTGTAACAATGAGATGTACAAGTTGTTATGTCGAAAACGAACTTCACAACTTTGGTGGGAGGGGGGAGGAGGATTAAGTGGGGGGGAGGATGGGAAGGGATGGGAAGGAGAAACAAAGGAGGAGGCTACAATGCTTGATAAGAAATGTACTCATTATCTTGCCCATGTAATTGTAACCCCTCTGTACAGTATTTTCACTATAAAAATAAATAAATAAATAAATATGTTAGAAACAATCCATGAAAGAAAAAACATTTGAATACTGATCTTGGGGTTCATTTCACCTAACATCAACTTTTCTGACCTTTTCTGCTTGTCTCAGACATACTAGTTATTGCAAATAAAGGAAACCATGGGACCTGTGTTTCTTTGGGCCTGGCTTACTTCACTTAGTATAATTTTTTCCAAGTCTTTCCATTTCCTAACAAATGGGGCAATGTCATTCTTTCTAATGGAGGCATGGAATTCCATTGTGTGTATATACCACATTTTCTTGATCTATTCATCTACTGAGGGGCATCTGGGTTGGTTCCATATCTTAGCTATGGTAAATAATGATGCAATAAACATAATTGTGCTCACACCAACAATTTCAGATCATCTGTAGCTTCCAAATAAACGCTGTCTTCAAGGATAACCTTACATGTTTTGTCATTTAGATCAAAGGAATTTTAGCCATTCACTAAAGAACAAAACCAACAACAGAACTGGGCATGATGGTGCATATCTTTAATCCCAGCACTTAGGAGAGTAAAATGGTAGGAAGATTTCTAGTTCAAATCCAGTCTGGTCTACATAGTGAGCCCCTGCTACAACAGTGAATAATATAGAAACAAATTCAGTTGGCACAAATACAGTATCTTAGAAAACAGGCGAGTTTGGTGACAAAAAGAAGCCAGGTAAATAGAGGCAGGAAGAATGCAGGGAAAGCTGCTTGTAGGTAAAGGGACCCTGTGAACCAGCCCAGCATGGGGATGAATATGGCCAGTTCAAGGAAGTCAGACAGATCTCTGCTCAAGTCCACTTCAAAATGCATAGTACAAGCCAGTATATGAAGGATCTTTCTAAAAAGTACAGATTTTATTTTGAAGGGCAAAAGCAATCATTGAAGCATATTACCCAAGTGAATTGTACAGTCCTATTTGAGTTTTTGAAAAGGAACATTCTAATAGAATTTGAAGAACAGGTTAGAGGTAGACAAAACTAAAGGCAGAGAAAACTTTTTAGAAGGCCATTTCAGTAATTCCATAGGAAATACAGAGGGTTTGAGTCAAGACAATAACATTAAGGATAGAGAAAAGTAGATTGTGGTAACTAATGGAATGTGGACCCTGAATTAGATGGACTGATTTTGGCTCCAAGTATTACCTTTGCCATTGTTGTTCTACTGACATTCTCAGAGACAGGACATAGAATCACACAAAACTGCTAGGATTTCTGGGTAGATGTTTTGGTGCCTCCTAGTCAATGATTAGTACCTATCAATCGGTCTGTTTCTAGGTACCCCAATATACTGTTTCTAATTTGTTACTCATTTTAGCCTAGAGCAAACTCAGTGTTGCTAGAAATAAATGATCTATTTTTAAAACAACCTCTTTATATAAAACAAACCAATATGTTGTATGCCTGTGGATAATTCAGTTCTTGTCCATAGATTGCAATGACATAATGTGGCCATTTTCTACCTCTCTTTTTTGCCAACCTGAACCCAAACATACTTCACTGTCTATTGATGCCAACTCGTTTATGTATTACCTCATTCCTTCATGTATTTAATTGTGGGTCCTTCATTTCCATGATTCTGGTAAGCAATGGTGATAAGACAAGAAACACACTTTCAGCCCTGGGTAAACAACGGTGTTGTAAAGAAGCTCAACAAGTCACAGAAAATTTCTGCCCAGTAATAAAAGGGTCTAAAAAAGAAGAGTACTTAAAGTAAAATGCATTCCATTCTAAATAGCACCCTGGTCTTTTTCTCTCATTCTTCATACTTGACTTTCCTCTGCCTAAAATTTTCCCACCTCCTTATGCTTCTGGTTATCTCCATCTTTTTTGTTTTCCAAAACAATGTTCAATTTTTTATAAATGATTTTGATTTAATTCCACTACACCTAATAAATAACATATACGAGGTTCATATCTAGATTTGATGTCTCTCCTTCCATAAAAAGTGAAGGTGAATCTTTTGTCTTTTTGTTTAGTCTTGTTTTGATGTTTTTTTACTGGAGCTTAAACCCAGGGCATTGTACATATTAAGCAAATGCTCTGCCCCTGAGCTACACCCCAGTCCTTGACATCACTTCAAAATGTAGGTATTAAGACCAACAAACCTTGACTCTCATGGTTCCTAAGAGGAAGCATGCAGAAGCATGTGGGTCAGCCAGGAGGCTGAGGGAATGAGAGGAAAGGGTGGACAAGAACCTTTCTTGTGGTTTCCTAGTGAAACAAGCTTAGGGTTGGCCACGTTGACTAATGTCAATGGACTGTAGGAGTGTAGAAGCTATCCCTGCTTACCAGGTACCTGGTCCTAGGCTAATTAGAACAGAGTAACAGGCTCTGTGATAACCCCAAAAGTAGTACTTGTGTTTGTGTTTAAATTAATTTGGTTGGCACCAGTGGCTCACTTTATACTGAGCTCTTTATTTTCTCCAAGAAATCAACTTAATAAAGGACACATGCTAGCATCAACACCCCCACCACCCCCACCATGACAAAACATCATGACCAAAAGACCTCTACTCACTATATTAATCTTTCTGCCATAATTTAGTTTGGCCTATTCATGTGTTAGGCAGCTTTTTGTCTTGGTGACAAAACACCTGAGAAAAACAATTCGAGAGAGAAAGGGTTTATTTTGGCTCACCGTTTCAGAAGTTTCTGTCCATGGTGGTTTGGCTCCATCTCTGTGGGCCCGCGCTGGGGGAAAACATGAAGATGGTGGGAGATTCATGGGAAATTGATGAGCTGCTCACACCATGGTGTCTGGGTACACAGAGAACCACCCAAGGAAGAGCCTGGGGACAAGGTATACCTTTCAAAGACTACCTCAGTGACATGATTCTTTCCACTAGGCTTTACATACTTATATCCCATTCAACTATAAACTCACAAATGGATTACTCTATTACTCTTATGATCCAATCACTTCCTGACTGGGTTGCAACCAAACCTTTAACACATGAACCTTTTGGTGGCATGCTTCATACCCAAACCACAATTTAGTAGACAAGTTTTGATCCAATCATTGGTCCTCAATTAAAGTACTTTCTTCCTCCTTTTCTCCTTCCTATCTTTCTTGTTTACTGTGTCATACTTAATTGCTCTGTCATCTCCCTTCCCCATTTCCTCTTCTTCTACTTTTGTCCTCTTTTTTTCTTTTTTCTTTTTTTTTGGTCATAGCACTTGAACTCTGCGCCTGGGTGCTGTCCCTCAGCTCTTCAGCTCAAGGCAAGCTCTCTACCACTTGAGCTACAGTGCCACTTCTGGTTTTCTGGTGGTTTATTGGAGATAAGAGTCTCACAAGCTGGTGACTCACACCTGTAATCCTAGCTACTCAGGAGGCTGAGATCTGAGGATCATGGTTCAAAGCCAGCCTGGGCAGAAAACTCTGTGAAACACTTACCTCCAATAAACCACCAGAAAACCAGAAGTGGCATTGTAGCTAAAGTGGTAGAGCACTAACCTTGAGCTGAAGAGCTGAGGGACAGCACCCAGGCCCAGAGTTCAAGCCCCAAGACTGACAACAAAAAACAAGAGTCTCACAGACTTTCCTGACTGGGCTGGCTTTGAACAGCAATCTTCAGATCTCAGCCTCCTAAGTAGCTAGGATTACAGGCATGAGCCACCAGCACCCAGCTTATTGTCCTTCTTCGTCATTTAAAAAAATATTGAAATGCATAGTAAAATCCAGGTACTATTCTAAGTACTTATTTCTACCATGTGATCTTCATAAAATCTGGGGAATTAAAAAGTGTTTGTCTCATTTAATAAATGAAGTAATTAGAAACAGGAAGGTTTAAGTAACTTCATATGTCAAAAGCAGTAGATCTGATGTTCAAAAGAAAGTCTGTTCAATTCCAAATTCTTTTTTCTGTTATTATAAACACACAACATATGCTATCACATTCTTAAAAGTGTATCATATTTGAATCTACCCACATCCTGAGAACTAAACTGGTTTGTTAGCTACACCTAGAGTTTTTTTTAATATGTTTTGAATTGTAAAAATACTGTGCAGAGGGGTTACAGTTACATGAGTAAGGTAATAAGTACATTTCCTATCGAACATTGTTACCTCCTCCTTTGTTTTTCCTCTACCATCCCTTCCCTCCCCATCTCCCCAACTCCTCACCCCCCAAGTTGTAAAGTTTGTTTTCAAAATAGTGTCTTGTACATCTCATTGTTACAATGGGTCACCCAGAATTTTTATATTAAATATTTGGGAAACTGCAATGACAGCTAATTCATTTGATCAACAAATATTTATTGAACATTTGCTTTTTATGCTAAATCCTATAATTTATTAACTATAGGGTATTAAGGAAATATTTAATCTATGCCTTTGTTTACTTATATATAATGTATAGATAATAACATTAACCTTGAGAATATAACACACTTGTTTTGTAAGTAGAAGTAGATGCTATAAAAAATGTTTTGCAGTTTACCTGTATTAAAATATAGGTAATTTCTAGGCCATTACTACTTGTATCATGGCTGACAAAAAAAAATAAGATCAGCAATTGAAAGCCCAATTGCTTCTGAATAACAAACTATACCTCTGTGTCAGCTAAATAAAAATTTGCTATCGGTAAATATCCAACTAGCTGAACATTATTAGTTCTTTGAAGTAATAAAAGCTCTAATTATGGAAGGAAAATAAAAATCAACTTCAGCCTATTAAGCTCCCCTCTTTCCTTATATTTAGGTCAGAGCTATATGTGGGAGGCATGGATTATTTATAACATTGAACCTTCTGGAAACATTGCTTAACTACCAAGATTTGGGTTATCAAGGGGAAATAAGGTAAGTTGACTTTTTTTCTCTGACTGTATCTTGGTTTGTATAAATTCTCAAGCTCACTCAGTTTGTTTGCTTAGCTGACATTCTACCAGTTGAACCATGCCATCATCCTGAATTTTTACTAATTAGTTGGAAGTAGAGTCTCTCTACTTTCTGCTCCAGCTGGCTTTGAACCATGATCCTCTAGGTCTCAGCCTTCTGAGTAGCTGGGATTATAGGTGTGAGCCACCAGCACCCAGAACTATGATGAAATTTTTATACTATAGGTAGAATAGTGTCATTGTGTTTTAGGAATATAATGTGTTAAATGCTAACAAAGAAGATAAATCGGAAGCAAAACTACAATCAATCCTCAAAACAAACCCTCACTTTAAAAAAATAGATGGAACAAAGCAAAAATGAATATTAATATGGTAGGTTTAACCCTAACTATATCAACAATTACATTAAGTATAAATGGACTGAAGGCAGAAATTAAACAACAGAGATTTTCAGACTTTATTTTTAAAAGAACAACAGAATTCCATCTATAATAGCCCATTTTAAATATAAATACATAGGCAAACTAAAAGGAAAAACATGCCATACCTTATAAGCTTTCTCTAAAGAAAGCCAGAAGAGTTACATTCACATCAGACAAAATAAATTCCAAAGTAAGAAATATTTCCCAGGTCAATTCATAAAGAGAATCCAACAATTCTGAGTGTTTAGGCCTATGATAGCATAGATTCAATGAAGTAAAACCCATGATTTAAAAGAAATAAAAATGAGTATATTCACAATTACAATTTAAGAATTCAATATTTCTCGTCAGAAATGGATAGAGTGTGCAGACAGAAATCAATAGCAATGTATGTAATTTGAACTATGCTATCAGTTCTGAGTATTGACTTCAGTATATTTGGAAGATTTGAAATCATAAAAGCACAGTCAGCTCTCTGTATAAACTGATTCCAGCTCCAAGAATTCAACAGTCATGAATCAAAAATGTTCAAAGTAAAATTATATCTGTACTAAACACATATAGAGTTTTTCCCTATTATTAGTTTCTAAATAATGGGCAGTTACAGTAGAACAGCCATTAAATAGCATCTGCATTGCATTAGGTATTAAAAATGGTTTAGAAATTATTTGCAATATAATACAAAAGAGGACATATGTAGGTTATATGCAAATACTATACTATTGTATATAAGGGACTTAGTATGTATGGATTTTGGTGTGCTAGAAGTTCTTGGAATGGTAACCAAAGGGTGATTGTATTTGCTCTGATCACAGAAAATTCAAAATCAAGATGTTTTAATCTTGGAAGTGTCCAAATAATCTGGGCATACACATACATCTAAATAATAAATGATCAAAGAATTCTCAGGGGAAAAAAATGGAAAATACTTTGAAATGAAGTAAAATAAAATGCTGACATAGCAGAATTTTGTCTTACTACCTCTAGTCTTACTTATTAACTACACTCCAGCCAAGCTACCAGAGTATTACAGCAGCCCCTTAACTCTGACTCTACTCTTCTCTCTAGCCGATGCTCACGTCAGCAACTCCAGGAATTTATTTAAAACCCAAAACAATTTACATTATCATCTGCTTATAATATTGCAATATAACACCTGATTTCACTGTGAGGGTGAAAGAACAAAAAGTCCTTATGATGAGTTCTATACAATTTGCTACCCGCTTATTTTTCTGGCTCTATTTAGGACTTCCTTTTGCCTATTTTGTTTCAGTCTCATTATGAACCTTTTTCATATCAAGTCATGTCTCCTCCTCAACACTCGTCCTTTGCATGTTTCCTCTACCAGGAATGCTCTTTGCACAGACATCCACACACCAACTTCCTTACTTTCCCCAAGGTTTAGTTCAAATATCTCTGCCAATGCAGCCTACTATTTCCCTGTGTAGTCTCTTCTCTCTTTTAATATGCTTTCTTTTTGTCTTCTTCCATACACATCTATACTTGTAAAATAAATTATATAATTTGCTACTCTCTTATATTTATTGTCCTATGTCTCTCCCTAATAGACAATAAATAACACAGAGCAGGCCAGATCTTTGCTTTGTTCACTGCTATATCTTTTTGGGGTTTTTTTGGGGGGGGTCCGGTCGTGGGTCTGAACTCTGGGCCTGGCTGCTGTCCCTCAGCTCTTCAGCTCAAGGCTAGCGCTCTACCACTTGAGCCACAGCGCCACTTCCAGATTTTTTCTTTTTGCTTATGTGATGCTGAGGAATCGAACCCAGGGCCTCATGCATGCAAGGCAAGCGCTCTACCACTGAGCCACCTTCCCAGCCCCTCACTGCTATATTTTAAATGTCTAGAAATGTGCCTGCCATAATAAATAATACTATAACGAATATGCACGTACTAGAACTAAATTAGGGCAAGAATGGAATCTCAAAATACTCTCAGAGATGCCAAAATATGAGTTCTCAATCCCTAGCTCATGGTCAGACTAAGGAGGCATTCCCTAACCAGCTTCTCAAAATCAGGTTTTCCCTGTGCCAAACATGCTCAGAACACCTAGTTTTTTGATTTCCTAACAGCACTGCTTGCAATTATGTATTTATTTGTGTGATTTATTCACTTGATATCTGCATAATGATGATCACCACAAGTACTGGCAAAGACCATACTCTTTCCTCATTCTACGTACCCATCATCCAGCCCAGTGTTTTACACATGAATGTACTAAAAATATTCCATGAATTCATTAATTCATTCACTTAGCAAACCTTTATTGAGAGCCTACTATATACTAAGCACTACTCTGGATCCTGTGAATACAGATATGAATAAAACAAAGCCCTTTGCCTATGAAATTTGTATTCTAGTTGGGAAGTGAAACAATACATGTTAGAACATAGGGCAAATCACATGGTCACAAGACAAATATAAAAACAATAAGCAGGATTAAGGAGTATGGAGTGCATCTATTAATGGATAAAGGAAAAATGAAGCTGGGCACTGGTGGCTCACAACTGTAATCCTAGCTACTCGAGCCTGAGATCTGAAGGTCATGGTTCAAAGCCAGCCCAGGCAGGATAGTCTGTGCAATTCTAATCTCCAATTAACCACCAGAAAACAAGAAGTGGTGCTGTGGCTTAAATGGTAGAGTGCTCACCTTGAGCTCTGAAGAGCTGAGGGACAGTGCTCAGGCCCAGAGTTCAAGCCCCACAAAGTGTGCCATCACAGTACAGAGTTTGGCCAGAGAGAGAAAATCCAGGCAAAGAGACAGATCTGAGCATTTGCTGGTAGCTGTGGCTGCAGGAGTGGCAGCAACAGCGGCAGTGGTCATAGCTGCCACACCTACAACACAGAGAGTCTGGGACAAAGGTGCCAGATGCAGTGGGCAAGCGGATTCTACTCAACACCAGCAAGAACTGACAAGCATCTGCAGGATCTTCATCCTGCAGATCACAGACCAGAGACGACCCAGGAACCAAGACTTCAGGTTAAGTAGAACCCTGACATCCTAACTCCTTCTCAGGGAGCAGAAGAGGGAAGGCCACCCCTCCCAGCCCATCCCCACCAGAGATCTCCATCTTTGATACTGACAAAGGCCCGGCTGAGCAGCTAGCTCCAACTCAGGCCTTGGAAGAAAACAAAAGAGTCATTTAGCAGCTCTCAGGAACCTAACCTGACCTGCCAGGCTCAGCTCCACCCAGGGAAAAGTTACCCAGCCCAGGTAGAGCACACTCTACCCCTGGAGGAGTGACTTTCTTCACTGGATAAGCAGAGCCAGAGGCTGCACCTAACTACAGCAGCCTAGACAATCAATTGAAATTCAATAAACATAAACCCTGAGAATGGCTCCAGGCTAGGCTCTGTGAGTGCCTCAGAAGCTAGCCCCACAGGGAAAAGCTACTGTTCGCTGAAAGACCTCAACCCTACCCAGAACCTAGCCTCATCACAGCATCTCCAAACTAGAGGAAACAACCATCGCCTTCTTTTGTGATACTCAATGCAGATCTCCCTCCCACTGAGCTAGCCAGGGAGGAAGATCTGGTTAAAGCAGAGCATTTTTCTGCCTGCTCAAACAAAGTGACTTAAGAAACCAATCAAGCCACAGGAAAACCAAACACCACAAACAGACCAGAGACTCCATCAAGAGACTGGTTATGGACACAAGGAAGATACAGGATCTTCCATTCCCCCCCCCCCCGCAAAAGAACTCTTTTTTGTACTTTTTTATAATTAAAAAAATTGTTTTCTATTAATCTTTTTTTCTCTTATAATTTTTATTTTAGGTGTATGTGTGTGTGTGCTTTTTTATCTCTATTGAACTTTTGGTGCTTTTTTTTTCTTTTCTGCATTCTTTTCATTTTTTCCACTTGCTTTTTTGTGTGACTTAATTGCTGTTCTGTTCATCCTCAGATATAGACCCATTGTCGATTATCAGACCTTATCCTCTATTGTGTATACATTTAATCCAGAAATTTATTACTCAATTCACAACCTCTTAGGCTTAAATTCTTTTTTTTAATTTTTTTATTGTGAAAATACTGTACAGAGGGGTTACAATTACATGGGCAAGATAATGAGTACATTTCTTTTCAAGCATTGTAGCCTCCTCCTTTGTTTCCCCTTCCCATCCCTTCCCATCCTCCCCCTGTCCCCCCCACCCAATCCTCCCCGCTTCCCCTACCCCCCCCTGCACCAAAGATGGAAAGTTTGTTTTTGACATAACGACTTGTACATCTCATTGTTGCAATATGTCCACCTGTATCCCTATTTAAACGATTTATTTTTCCCCTTCCCCTCTACAAATTATACCAACATCAAATAGAGTGAAAGCAGGGGTTATACTGTGGGGGAGGGACATACAAAGCAACAAAGAAATAATCTTATAAATGTGTTAGAAACAATCGCATAATAGGCTTAAATTCTTTAATACCAGTATTATCTCTTTATACCTATATAATTTTTAAAGAATTTTTGTTTTTCCATTTTTTTCTTTTTTTCTTCTCTTTTTTAATATCTCTTATCATTCCATCAA